CCGAACCTTCCCCGCTCCCCCGGCTCCCACCTCTGTCTCCCTGGTCCTCTGCAGCCTCCCCGATCCCCCAGCGCCGGCCCCGGGGCGACCCTTCCGCTCTCTGGCACAGGGTGCAATTACCCCCCCGCTAATTAGCTCCTCCAGCCTCTCTCCCATGAGCTGCGTGTGCAGATTGGCTTCGCCCCAAGCTTTGGACACGGCCTTGGGCTCTCTCTGCGTGGCACTCACCCACCCCGCTAAGGGATCCTGGAGCGTCCTAAAGGATCCATCCTGACCCCAGTAGGGAATCCTGGAATATCCCAAAGGATCCATCCTGACCCTGCTGAGGGATCCCGTGTCATCCCAAAGGATCCATCCTGACCCCAGTGAGAGATCCTGGAGCATCCCAAAGGATCCATCCTGACTCCGCTAAGGGATCCAGTGTCATCCCAAAGGATCCATCCTGACCCCGCTAAGGGATCCTGGAGCATCCCAAAGGATCCATCCTGACCCCGGTGAGAGATCCTGTGTCATCCCAAAGGATCCATCCTGACCCCGCTAAGGGATCCTGGGGCATCCCAAAGGATCCATCCTGACCCCGCTAAGGGATCCTGGAGCATCCCAAAGGATCCATCCCTGCAGCATCTGCAAAAGCTGCATTTCCCACACCTCAGCTCACTGCTTGCATAGGAAGGATCTTATCAGGCAGCAGCAGGAAAGGAGGATTCCAGTGCTCCCCACTTCTCACCCTCCAGGGGGTAGAACTGATCTGTGGTGGTTTCAGAAACCCAGGGTTTATTCCACGGAGAGCTGATGAGCCAAGCATGGGAGTGGTGGATCTGCCGGAGCAGGGTCCTGTGGGCTGAGCAAAAGCCCTGCCTGGACTATAAAGGCATCTTCCCATGGTGTTTGGAGGGCTGGGATTTCCCCATGAACAGGGCAAAACATCAGAAATTAATATAAATATTAATAGTTAAAACATGGAAGTGGTTTCATGCCAGCCAAGGAAGCTGGAATGGCCATGGGTCAGGAGAGAGGCAGCAATAACCTGTAGCTCTGAGGACTCTACCTGAAGCTCTCAAAGCCCTCCAATGGGCCATAAATGGAGGAAAATATACAGTGGAGTGATGTGAATATCTTTGAAAATGATGATGCTGGAACAAATATTCTTGTTTGGCTCCTGAACACAGTGTGGTGCCACTGGAAAGAGCCAAAAGCTGGCTGGAAGTGGCCCAAAGCCTGAGCCCAGCTGCAGAGACAGGTGTTCTGTGTGCAGTTTGCCTGTGATTCCCTGTACAAGAATCACAACTGAGGAATTCATGGGAGTGATTACTGGACAAGGACACAGCAGTGACGTGATTTACCACCTCTGTCACTCTGCGTTGCCCAAAGAGCATCTGTGCTGAAGAGGCTCGCTGCCATTGAGTGCAAATCAATGGGGAATTGCACTCCAGATGTGAGCCAGCAGTGGAAGAGCCAT